GAAAACAAGGTGAAGTTATAAAAACCCTATAAAAAGCTATTTGATTTTTAAAGGAGTTTGTTCCACATGTAGGTGGTATAACAACTTTTCCTTATGGTGAGTATGGCTTTTGTAGGCAGAGCCTGGAGGAGTCCGTGACCTGCTTTGCTACTCCATGCCATTCCTCATCTTAGCTATGCAGATGTGGGTTGCAGGTTTGGAGCTGTGTTTGCTTGATCACAAGCAGTCAAGTTACTTTGAAAAATTCAACTGTGAAAAATTCAACTGCTACTTGTCACTAGTGTTTTAAGGCAATACATTTAATTTCTCATGCAGAATATTGGGTCTGTGTGCTTGGTTGGTTGGGTTGGCTCAATTGAGTTGCAGTGGGTCGTGAAGGTAGAGTCGCTGCTCCAAAGCTTGCAGGATGGACTGGAAAGTATTGAGGACTTGTATTTAGGATTCTTGTAGGACAGGCTTGAGGGGAACAACCCCAAAGCCATGTCCTGCAAGGTTGAGCACTTGACGGAATGGCATACAGGTAACATAAAAAAAGTAGATAGGGGGAGAGAAAATGTGTAATAAAGATAGAAATTATTCCCCTCCCCCCGTTGTTCCTTTGATTCTCTGTTCCTCAAGGAACAACAGCAAAAGAGATCAGTTTTTCAGGTTGCATTGAGCCAACAAAACCTACCAACTTCTCAGCTGTGGAGATGAAGGTCTGTAGACTGCCTGATGGCCAACCTCAGTCCAGTTACAACAGCAAACATAGGTCACTGACCTAAAGCTGAACCTGGAGTTGGAAAGCTGCCTTTGCTTCTTATGTCAACCAGCCTGGAAATAGCATTGCTGTCAGGGGGACTGAGATTTCTGCCGTGTCAGAGTGGTATAGGGTGTTCCTGTGCTGCAAGGAGGCTGCCAGACTGCTGTGCTGATCACGTGGGTGAAGAAAGTAGCTGTGCTTGGAGGGAGTTTCAGCTACGTGAACCAAACGCTTTGTGTGTTATTGCCTAATGTAACTTTAGCTATGAACAGACATTTGGTTTCTTACCCTTATTTTTTTTTTTTTATCGTCACATTAAGCAGAGAGTCAAGAGATTGATAGTCTTGTATAATAGAGGCAATTTTACAGAATAATACAAAAATGCACTTGCTTTCATGTAAACCACACCAAAAGGTAAGGGGATTTTTTTATTTGATTTTTGTCCCTCGAGGGCTTTTTGCCTCCCCCATAGCCCCAGGTCCCTCTGTTTTCAGAGGGCACGCTGGAGTGTCGCCTGTGCTTTGATGTGGTTTCTAAAGTGTGCCTCTTCATTGGACTCCCTACAGATGCCTTTATGTGAAACAGAACATTAAAATCCAAATGCGTCTGCTCTGCAGGTCATTTTTCATTCTTTATGTGCGACGTCAAATATATTGCAGAATTGTTCTGCTGCACCCCCAGCCCAGGAAGGTGCGGGTAACAAGATGGGGGTAGGAGCAGGGAGTTCCTTGGCGGTTAAGCCCAAATTTCTCCTTAGTTGCTTCCTCTGGGCCTCTCCCCAGCTCTCTTTCTCTCTCAAGGTGAAACTGAAACCTTGGTGACTTCACCTAAGCCTGCCGAAGTTAAAGAAAATTTGATATTTCTCACTTATAGGTCACTTCAGTCCAGATTGTTTCCTGCCAAGAGTGGGGGTGGGGGAAATGCCCTCCTGTTAATGGAAAAGCAATTACTATTATTTCTGCCGTGTACATTGTGTCGTTCCAGCATAACACCTAGGTTATGGGCTCTGCTTGTGTCACGCCAACTCCTCGGGCTCCCAGCTGGCTATTGATGGGCTTGTGCCCATCACACAGCGATGGAGTGGCAACCGTGCGAGATGGGGGTTACGTGCTGTGATGTGCACCAGTGTGCTGGAAGGGAATGAACATGGAGTAAGTTACTTTGGGGGCATTTGTCAGCCTTTAAGGTAGAAATCCCTGGAAAATCTCTTCTAATTAAGGCTGCCCCCCCGGAGGTGGGACATACTTCCCCCTCCTGCCCCCCCCCCTTTTTTTTTCTTCTTTTTCTCAGTAGGTCCCTGGACTTTAATTCAGGTCAATTTTTTGTAAACTTCATTTTATATGCATTTAAAGTGTGCAAAATGCAAAATGTGGTGTTTGAATTTAGATGTTGAACTCCCTGGCCTAGAGTAACGGCTTTTTCTAGAAGGACAGACTTTCTTGAATTTGGGGTTTTATCAATACCAGTATTTATCAGGTCTTACCAGTGTTTGATTTGGGTCTTAGCAATGTTGGTATCTGGCCAACAGATGTCATGTACTACTGTGCTCCTCTTGTAAGCATAGCCAAAGCTGAAGGATGGCATTAATACCTCTAGTTTGAAAAGAGGTGGGGCAGCAAGATAATGTGTCTTGTGAGAACATGTCCACAAGGTCCTCTTTTGAGACTAATTCTGTGTTCAGTCTAAAATGCTGAATGTTACATGCTTAGGGCTTCGGCAGTGAAGTTCAGAGTTGGCGGCAGCATCCTTCAGCTTGTTGGTCCGGATTTTTCCTCTCCCATGACCACTTTTTCTGCTGTGATCTTGCTACGCCCTATTTAATGATCCGTTTCAGGCACAATGTTTTATCCAAAACTTTGCATTTTCCCATTCTTTGATTTCTTCTCTTTCTAGAGGAAAAAAAAGATTACATAAATTTGAGAGATTTTAATGAGTACACTGGGCTTGCTTTTGGTGTAATTTATAGTGGATTCAGTGTTATAACTTCATTACGCTTCAGTTGAGTAACTTATGTCATAAATGGGTGTATCTGAGAGTGGAATCGGGCCTCGAATCTCTTTGTTGTGTGGGCTTCAGAAGGACCAAGTGCTCACTCCCCTTTTTGAAGTCCTAATTCTCTTTATATGATGTTGCAATGTCTTTCTATAGAGTTGTGCCTCTGAAGTTTGAGATTTGTAATGCAAAAAATACCACTTTTCTCCCAGTTGCTTCAAGTATTGATGTTGCTAGCAAAATTTGTCTTCAGCAGTGTTCACACAGGCCTTTTCCTGTGGCTTTGTTGCAAAAATCCCTATTGTTGTGATTCATCCCTTAAGAGATCTTTTTAATATGCTTGTTTGGTAGCCCCCTTTCTCAGCTGTTACTTCTCTTGTAGGAGTACTTGTAGTAAACATCACAGATACTACTGCTTTCCAACCACTAGAGGTCAAGATTGTGCTATGGCATAGCACAGGGCTGCTCATCGTGTAAGGTTTAGCTCCAACTCCTGTTGCAACCACGTCCAGTGTCAGCTATATATACCTAATTTTACTATCAATTGCCATTTTCGGCAATTAAGACAAAGCCAATTCTATGTGCATGGTGTGAAGGGCACTTTGTCTTACACAACGGTAGAGCCCGGTGGATTTTGCTGGGGCTGGGATATCTGTGCTGTGCTTGGGTTTTAATATTCTTCAGATCTAGAAAATGTACAAGTGATTGGTCTCTGATGGAGTCTTTCTTCCCAAGGAGGGATTCAAAAGGGAGTTGAGCTGAGAGAGGCTATCAAAATAAAACTTGCTTATAAATTATTTTTGTGTGATATTACTACTTCTAAGTGCTTGAAAGGAAATAATTTTGAAGGTTTGTGCTCTAGATAGAGCTTTCTACTTTCTGCAGTTCAGGTAGCAAAAATAATTAGAGTTTTTTTTTGTAGGTTCCACTTGGTTTATTTCTCATTTTTTCCTAGCACAGTTGGTTTCAGTGACAACACTATCTACAATACGGTTTCTAGCGTTCCTTCTTCCTTCTAAAGCCAGGCTGTCATGTAAGCATGGGGCAGGGGATGGTCCTTGTCACCACCTTGTTTGTCTGCTGTTGTAGAGGAGCAATAAAGTACTCAGAGGCAGGTTTGATTTGGATTGTACTGCTAATTGCGAGAAAGAGAGTCTATATTAATAATTACGATACATAAAAAAGCTCATTCTTTTTAAAAAAGAAACCTACTGTCTAAAATCACACTTTCAGACAGACATCTGGATGATTTCCATACACCTTTCTTCTTATATATACATATAAAGAAATATGGGAGGGATCCTATAAATCTCTGTGTATGTATCCATATAAATTTCAGGTTTTCAGAGTGTTTAGTTTCTAGTTACACCAGAGCATAAGCCCATGTGTGCAGAACCACTGTATCTGTTGCCTTGGCCTTTTCCCCCTTGTTTTGGCCATGATTTGGGACTAGTGGCAAGAACAGTGTCTTTATGCCAGTTCCCCTCCTTGCCCTTCCCCTTCAGTTTGAAGCTCTTGGTCAACTCTTTTGAACAATTGGGGCTAAACCATTTTTCCTGTCAAATATTGTTCTCAGTAACAATGAGGCAACTAAGTGAGTTTTTGCAGCAGAGCACACGCGTTGACCTCTGCTGCAAACAAACTCCAAACCCCCAGGAATATGTATCCATAGCAGTACCAGGGAGCTCCACCGAGTCTGTGTGTTTTGCTCCCTGAATCATGGTGCTTCTCTCAGGGAGCGAATCTTGGTTCAATACCTTTTACAGCTCATTCTGTACATCAGCAGCGTACAATTAAGTTCTCCTGAGGTACCACAAAAATGCTTTCAGGAACCTCTGGGGTCCAGATGTGGAATGTTTTGTGCTGACATGGGTTGAAAAAAGGAACAAATCCAACGGTTAAGTACGTCCTTTAATTTAGCCTGTGACAGTCACCACATGGCCTATGGGCTAATATTTCTGCATCTGTGCTGTAAATAGATCAATATGGCAGTATGATGGGTTTGGCATTTTGATTTGTGAAGAGTCAGAATATTGTTTGTATTGTTGCATAATCCCTGGAATGGTTTTGAAATGAATCTTCTGTTTCTTTGGAATATCTGGGTTAGGAAAAACATAACATTTTGAAGTTCCATTAAGCGTGTGTTTTATTTTGTGTCATTTGTCATATTTCATGACTGATTGCATCTTTTGGCTGAAAGGAAAAAGGAAAAAAAAAAAAAGTCCGAGGATGCTATCATAAAAGGTGAAATCTGCTTTTTTTCTAGGCACAGCAGCAAAGAAACCTGGACAATATTGTATCACAGCATCCCAGAATAAGCGGGGGGAAGAAGTCCAAGAAAGAAGTCTGCGCAAGCTCAGATCTGGAGGTAAAAAACACTAGCCCCATGTCTGAGCAAGATTCGGGTATCCTGGATGTTGAAGATGAGGATGAGGATGAAGAGGTAACTGTATAACATCAAATCCAGGCAACTGGATAGTTTGGGGGCAATCAGTAGTGTCTCAAATGGTGTTTGCACCTCACTTAGTCTTTCGTGTTGCCATGCAGTGTGTCGTAAAGGTGCAGAATAGGCTGTAGAACATGGGGTGTCTTTCAGTATTGGGTTATTTTGCACTGTTGTCCCTATTCTCCTTAGCAGGCTCAGCAGTATTGTATAAGTATTGTATAAGAACTGAACAGCCCATCTTCTGGCCCCCAGCTCAAGCGTTGCGCTTCTGTGCTTATTTGGGAAGGCAGTTTGGTATCTATCCTTCATTTAAAAAAAGATAAATTGCTGCATAGCACACGAAATACTTGGCCTTGTCTGTGGGACGTGTGCCTTGGTGGCAGAGACATATTTAGTGTTGAAAATCGTTGCATCGGGACAGAATTTTTTTAAATGCAATCTTATTTCCTTGATGTTCTCCCTTCTTTTTGTCTCCCTTTCTGCTGCTGCTTCCTCAGACCGGCAGTCTGTTGTTTTTGTTAACCACAAAGCATAACCTCGCTGATAGCGTTGGTTCTTTTTTCCTCCCTGAGCTAGAGCATAGTGCATACAATACATCTTGGATTTGTGGTGCGTAAAATGCAATAGAGCTCTGTCCCTTTGTGTTTCAGGAAAGGCAGCTTGGAGATACCTAATCCAAGTTTAGGTCATGAGGTGTTGAGCTTTCGGATGTATTCTTCGTTTCTTGTGATGCGGTCTTGCATTTGACCTTCTGGCAAGTTTTATCTGCCACGTTGGCTGCTTTTTCTCTTATTGCTGAAGCCTCTCTTAGGTCAAGAGAAATGATATTTTCAGATACAACTGGTAGCTGAATTGGGTAGTATTTGTTGCCCTGAACTTGACAGTCCGTGACCAGCCGCAGAAGAAGATTGAGAACAAGTTTCTGAAGTTTAAAATAGTATGGGTCAGTCAAGTGGTTCTGTGCCCGTGTTGTGTCTTTTTACCTGCAGTATAAGTCTCTCCTCTTCATCTCTGCTGCACTTCCAAAGCAGACCAAGGAGATCACCGCTTACTTTACAGGGATCACACTGTAGGGTACAACCCAGACCCCTCACACTGCACTGAAACTATCTGGGTAGGATATTTATTCCTACCTCAAAATGGAAATACAACAGAAGTTAAACAAAAGAAAAATTAGTGGAAAGGGCATGTTTTTTTTAAATCGAACATTGTTTTGAATAGAACTATTTTGGTATTTCCCTGTTAAAAAATAAAAATCTGGTCCTTCAATAGTTCTTGTTCCATCTCACTCTAAAAATCTCACTTCTGCGGAGTGGGTTCTTCTGTGAAATGTGGCAATGCTTGTGGGGTATGCAAATTTTGAGTAATTGGAATTGAATTTCAATTATAATTGAAAGGTATAAGGAAAACATTAAGGAGGGAAGAATTAAAAGACAATAATTTGTCTAGCGCAGCCGGGAGAAATCTCTTAATTCCGTTCATCAAGCTGATTTAACTCATCTCGGGGGGTTTAAAGCCGGGCTGGCAGTAAGCGGAAGAACCTCGCGGTGGGG